CTTTAAAAGAAAAAGGATATCCAGCAGAGAGAGAAATTTCAAAGCCATTGTACAAGGCATGGATGAGACCTCATTTGGAATACTGCTACAATTCTAGTTACCTGTCTTCAAGAAAGATTAATTTGGATTGGAAGAGATGCAAAGGGCTACTTGTCTTCCCCTTATTACCCTATCTTACAAGAGGACACTAAAAGAATGCAGCTAGTTTAACCTAACAAAATAAAGGATGAGAAGGGAATATGATTATATATCAGTAGTAGATGCTTAAGTGTCATAGAGGGAGATGAGCTAATTCAGCTGAAGGACTATGTTGGCTCAAAAATAAAAGGGAATAACCTGACTTAGTTCTGTGTTTTAAAAAGTGCCTTCCAAGTGGCCTTTTAATACGGATCCTTATAGTGCATATTCCTTAGAGATGAAATGCTGTTTTGTTTCTCATGTGAAATGTGTGGTAGCAGAAAATACTGCTTTGGCCACAAGAGGCTAGCAGTTAACTTCAGAGTTGTTCCTTGAGTGATACCTGTGGTACAGGTAAGCTTTTGTTAGATGGCTGGAGTGCAGGAGTGTCTCCTGGAGGGGCTGTATATGTGTTTTGGTTCTTCCTTCACCCACTCTTCTACTCTGGCCACAACAGTGCTGTAGCAACAACGTTTGATGCCCAGGTAAAGCCTACAGTGGCTGCCTGCCCTCACCTCTCACACAGATCTGGGGGGCACATGCCCCCACATTTTTGTCCGGGAGTACAGGGAGCTGCCCTTCCCCCCTCTCCATGCCCCTCCAAAACGAGCCACTTACGGCTCCATCCTGCGCCCTGCTCTGGCTGGGCAGTTCCCGTTGGCGTCCCTTTGCTTCAGTGCCCAAGATGGTCGCCCCACTCACCTCTCCACACTTTGCTATGACACTGGGCTACAGTGAGTTGCATTGCAAGAGCCAGTGCTAGATGTATCTGCCTTTAACTCCACCACTTTCTCTTAGTTGGATGCATGGCAGGAAGCACAAGAGGGGAAGAAAGGGATTGTGTGGATACCTATTCTTTCCACAAAATAGACAAATCATTAGCCTAAGAACACCTCCCACCCCAGCAGCTCATCTGCCGAGAGGGTTGAAGGAGCTCCAGACTGCTGAAATGCCAGTGACAGTAGGTCACTCTCCTTCTCCTTCTGGGTGGTCCTTTAGGCTAGTGGTTGGTAACATTTCTGCAGTAGGGGGCCACTTTAGCAGAGCTTGACTGCTCAGGGGCTGCTTCCAACCCAGTCTGCGTTGCTGGAGCCAGAATATTCACTCCCTTTGCACTTATGCCAATTCTCCTTGCTGCCCAGCTGCTGCACAGGTAAAGTCTTCCACTGCTAAAATCCCTCGGCTCTGTAGCCCAGATAAAATAGCTCTGCAGGCTGGATCTGGCCCGTGGGTTTTAGGTTGCCAACATGTGTTCTAGTATAATCCAAGTGAAGAACAGCCCCTGGTGGCTCAGAGAAGCAACTGCTGGACAGTCACACAGCACTGAGGCATCAGTGCCCAGCTAAACTGTGGTGAAACGTGGAAGTGTTGTTCAATACATGAATGAAGTGTCTGACACTTGGTAGCCCTGACTGCCAAATCTAAGTGGTGCTGAGAGCTTGAGGGCCTGGGGGATGTGCTGCCTGCCTGGAGCTCAAATTGAGGATGTCACAGAGAGACTACCAAAGCTCATCCATCCTTTGGACCACTATCCCTTCCTGCTTGTCCATGTAGGCACCAACAGTACTGTCAGGAATTACACTGAGCAGATCAGAGGTGACTCTGAGGCGCTTGGCAGGAGGATTAAGGGGCTTGGAGCACAAGTGGTGTTTTCATCAATTTTTTTTCTGTGGAAGGCAAGAATTCAGGGAGAAATCATTGTATCCTGGAAGTGCCTGAGACAGTGGTGTCAATGTGAAGACTTAGGCTTCTTCAAAAATGGGTCGATGTTCTTGGGAAGAGGACTGCTATCAAGAGATGGGATCCAGCTGATGAGAATGGAGAAGAGTATCTTTAGGCATTGTCAGACCAACCTGGTAAGGATGGCTTTAAACTAGGTTCCATGGAGAATGGTGATCAAAACCCTCTAGCAACAGGGCACACAATTCAGAGGGGAAAGGACTCAAAGAAGCAACTTAACTCTGGGAAAGGGCCAGAGATCTACAGGATTGCAACAACTGGTGCAAAAGGGAAGCGAGTAGGTCAAAATGCAAAATACATCCAATGCATGTGTACAGTTGGGAGAAGTATGGTTAATAAACAAGATGAGCTGGAAGCTGAAGCCGGTGAAAAGAACTATGATCTGATTGGCATCACAAAGACCTGGTTTTACCAAGATGAGTCTACAGTGTGATGCAGCCATACAAAAGGCGAATGCAGTTTTGGGATGCATCAATAGAAGTATTAGGTGCAAGACATGTGAGGTGATAGTGCCTCTCTACTTGGCACTGGTTAGGCCTCATCTGGAGTACTGCATGCAGTTCTGGGTTCCAGATTTTAAAAAGGACATGGAGAAGTTAGAGAGGATCTAGAGGCAGGCAACAAAGATGATAAAGGACTTGGAAAGCAAGTTGTATGAGGAAAAGCAGAAGCAGCTAAGCATGTTCAGCTTGCAGAAAAGGTGCTTAAGAGCAAATATTTGAAGGGCTGCCACAAAGAAGTGGGAAAGAATCTTTTTCCTCTTGTTCCAGAGAGGAGGATGTGGGGTCAATGGCTTGAAATTGCAGCAAAGTAAATTTAGATTGGATATCTGGAAAAACATCTTCACTGTTAGAATAGTGAGGCAGTGGAATAGGCTGCCTAGGGAAGTTGTGAACTCTCCGTCACTGGAGATATTCAAGAAGATGTTGGACAGTCATTGGTTAAGGATGATCTAAGAATAGCTATACCTATTTTCTACTATGAGTATTTCCCATTCTTCTGGGATTTGTTGGTTGACCTTGTCCACCTCTACCCCTCTTTCTGCTATATGTGTCAGGGTGCTGTTAAGCCTTCCTCAGAGACATTGGGTGTTGATTACAGCCAAAGCTGGAGATTTTGACTGAGGTATGCCAGTGCTCCTACTGGGACCAAAGCTGGAAGTTCCTGGCTACTAGGCACCAAAGCTGGAGGGTCAGAGCAATTGCCATGTTTGGGGTCAGGAAGGAATTTTACCCCATGGTCAGTTTGATATGGACTGCAGGGTTTTTGCCTTTGTCTATAGCAGGAAGCATGGCCCTCTGTCCTATATCTCTTGGGCATATATTGACATTTCATAGGAGCAGGACATTGGCTGCTGTGGCTCCCCTGCTTTACCTGTGGCAGGTTAGGGTGTTAGGTCTGTGTTGATGGTAGTCTTATGTAGAGTTCAGATTATGGGTTGTATAGGATGGTTTGGAATGATCCTTCTTCAGGCAGAGAGTTGGATTAGATGACCTCTGGAGGCCTCTTCCAGCCCAACTTCTCTGATTCTATCTGAAAACTTGTCTAACTTTATCCCAGCTATACAGTTGATCCAATAAAGGATCTCACCCCCCAAAAATCCTTGCGTCTTGCATAAATATTTGTAGACCTCTGGAGCCCAAACTGCAGAAACCACCAGAATGACATTTCTCATTTGCATCATTGTCTTGAGTTTTGTGTGGTAACAAAAAGGAATTGGCCCACGTACACATCAGCAGTCTGTTAAACCACTTTACATATAAACTAAATGCAGAAGAAAGACCAAGTGAACCTGGTCACTGGCTGCTTCTAGAACTTTGCTTTTATGCCAACAATTAATGGTGCACACATAAAGAGGGGCATAGATATGCTTTAGACAATCACAGGAGCAATAATAGTTCATTAGAGTCTGATTTAGTGCTATGATTTGGATAGCTGTGGTGAGTGTGTGGGGGTGATGGGGAATGGTCTGTAGTGGGGATTAGATGAGCCATGTCTGAGCAGTTCAGAGAGAACCAAAGCAATGTGACAGTCATGCTCTGTTCCACCCTCCATACACAATGTCTTCTCCTCAAGCATATCTTGTTAGTTACATTTAAAGTTCCTTACCATGATCCCATACTTAACATGCGGTACTGACCCTTAAAAGGAAGCTGCAACAAACCAGCTTCACATTTAATTCTGTGCTTGTCCTCACAGAAACCAGCACCAGAACCTTGTCCTTATGACTGGAAGTGCTTGTCATGTGAACCCTTTCATCCTTAGCACACCTCCCTAAAATCAGCTGCCATTGCAGACTAATCAAGTACTTCAGAGAGGGATCACTGTCACTGACAATGTCCAGCCGGTTTGAAAACCAGATCTGATCTCACAGAATAGCTGGAATCTATCTAGTCCTCCCCTAGTGGTGCTGCCCACACACTGGTTTTATTGGTCATCCTTGAAGTCCACCCTTGGTAAACAGCAGCCGGGCACATGGCAGCGAATCAGCAGCACACAGCAATACTACACTACAGTTAGTACTAACTACACTGTATAGGCACGCCCATACTGTGCGGTTATTTTCAGTTAGTGCGCTGTAACCTAACTTACTGCGGAGTAAATGTGCACGTGTAGGCGCAACCCCTGAGAGTGACTTGGGTTTTGCATACTCTGCGCCAATGAGCTGCCTCCGAAATGATTGCACAGTTTGAACACTTTCACTGGGATTGATCGGGCATGGTACACAGTTTGCCGTTATCCCGCAAATAGGACCATTCTCTGCACGTGGCAACAGGGCGGGACGCGCGTGGCTGGGCGGGGGCGGGGAGGCCCGGGCCCGGGTGGGGGGGGGGGGGGGGGGGGCCCGGGCCCCCGCGCCTCCACTGCGCTGCGCTCCTAGCGGGGCGGATCCGGGCAACTCGAACCTGACGTTGACCCACGGCTTTCCCTTGCTAGGGACGCGGAGGGGCGGGGCCTTTCCCGGAAGTGGGCGGGGCCTGGCGCGGCATGGAGGCCGAGTTGGAGCTGGGCGAGGGCGCGCGCCGGGGGGGTCCTGCGGTGAGACCGGACGGACCCCTTCCCCCTCCCGTGGGGGGGCGGCGCTGGCCCCTCCCGCTTGGCTTTGGCACGCGCAGGAGCGGCGTCCCGTGGCCGCGGCGGGGCCGCCTGGGTTTGCACAGGGCGGGCTACGAGCTGGGCTGGGCTGGGCTGGGCTGGGTGCGGGCCTCGCTGCCTTCCGAAGGTCCCTGCAGCCCTGCTTCTGCCGCTTGTGCCTCTCACTCCCGCCACCGGGACGTGGAGGAGGAGCTGCCCCAGCCCCCACTCTTGTTTTGAATTGAACCCGCATCCCGGGAGCAAGGTGAAGCCTCCTCCACCTGGCCCTGTCCTTTGGGCCAAGCGCGGGTTCCAGCAGGGACTTGATTTGGCAGTGTTGCTCCCCTGGTATCTCTGTGCCAGCGCTTGTAGCCAGGCCTGTGGTTCTGTTTGAGCTGAGGATGTTCCCTGGAGCAGGCTGGGCAGGTGGCCCTGGTAATTTGGCCCGAGGAGCAGCAGCTCTTTGCCTTTGATCACCACGTTTTATTGCATTTCTATTGCCGTGGTGGCCACAGACCCACATCAGTGCCAGAGCTTCATTGCATGGAGAGCTGCAGCCCGGGCATTGAATCACTGGCAGGCTAAGGTGACACGTGGAATATGGGGCAAGGCGGGGGGTGGATATGATTAAGTGGTACAATTTTACAGTCCTGTTCAACACAGGCTCAAGTGTCAACTCCCCTCGTGTGTGCACCTATTAACTGGCTGTGCCTTTTTATGGACATTGTTGCAGAGTTAGATTTTTGAGTAGTGGCTTGAAGAAGGTTAGTGGTTTTGTGACTTGGCTCCAGGAGTGCGAGCCAGGCATATGGTGTGATGTGGAAGGTGGCTGTGTGGGCAGTAGACAAAGGGGCACCTGCTGCTGGTATTCTTGGTCTGTTTGGGCATCACTGCACTGGGTAAACATTGTAGTGGGGAAGCTTGTTTGTGTTTCCATGTTGGCAGTGCCCTTAGGATGCCATTGTCAGTAACTGTGCTCTGTGCCCTTATAGGTGGCAAAGATGGGTCGGCGAGCTCGCCAGGATTCCTTTCCAGATGAAAATCATCTCAGCCGGAAGAATTCCTCTACAGCTTCAATAGGCGAGGTGAGTGCCCAGGGGCTGGACCACGTGTCTGCAGTATAGGCTGCAACTAAAACCTGATGCCGTCCCCATTAGAAAGTTCTTCATATCTTGTAGGATTTTGTCTTGGCCCCTGTGCTGTGAGATGTGCTCTTACAGCTAGAGTCCATAGCACCATTTTTTCTTGCTGAAAGTGCTTTCCAGTGTCTCAGTGCTGTGCTGGCCTCTTCAAAATGGAGAAATGTACAGGGGATTAGATATGAGGCCATGATTTTCTGAGAGAGAGATGCCTGCATGGGAGTTCAGAACAGGATGGTATGGGGGACCCAGGACCTGTTGTGGGGAAAAGAGGGGTGAATGCAGCTGTTGCCTTGAGTGCTTTTTCCCCAGTTATGGATTCTCTCCTTTGTACACTTATCTCGTGCTTGCAAGATCAGATTGTCTTAGCTACCTGTGTCCAGGGGGCTGTGTCTGTATCCTAGATGCTGTTGCATGCTCCCCAGTGGGAGTGCTGAAGAGTCTGAACAGGCACAGCCACCTGTCAGCTCCTTTTTACCCTCAATCATAGCAAGACAGAAGTCTTGGAAGCATCTACTCTTTCTCTACTCACTGTACATGTTAGAACCATAGTTTTTTTATAATTGCCTGCTGGTTTAAAAAAAAAAAAAGAGAGAAAAAAGCATTTTTTCCTTGGATAAGCTTTCATTAGGTTAGACCCTATAAAGGGTCTATAAGAGGAACTAGTTTCATGACAGAAATTAAATCCAGCAGGATTTGAGAACTATCCTTGTGATGCTTTGATGCTTGTTAATGATAGACATCTTCCCCACTCCCCAGTACCTATTTTGCCTGGGAGAAGGAGGCATCCCAGAGCAAAGTTCTGTCCATTGCTTCCTTCAGGCTCATTCAGAGTGAAGGGAAGCTGGCCTGGAGTTCCTTAATTTTTTGAAAGAATGATAGTTTCCTCAGCAACCAGCAGGGAGGTTATGCCAGGGCCTCATCCCTTTTTGGTCTGTCTTTTCGTTAGTACCCCGATGAGCTGAGATTTCACCCTGTGTTCCAGTTTTCATTTATCTGACAGGGGCAGATCAGAGCACTGCTCCAGAAAAGAGCCATGTCCCTGGTTGCTGTCCCTGGCACCTTGCATACAGACAGTAATACAAATCACTAGACTTGTGACTTGTCTTGAATCACTTGTTTAATGGCTGTAAAGGCATTATTTAAAGGCCCCTTTAGGTGCTTGATACTGCCCTCCAAGACTGTGTGTGCAATGTCCTTTAAAGTCAAGACACTGCTCTACCCTTGGTACTAGCTGTGATGCAGATGTTTTGGTAACTAGACTCTCTGTGCCAGATGCTTCTGTACTCGGGACCCCAGCACTTTCCACCGTGATACTGACTGTTTCTGTGGTACCTAGATCATATGTGGTACCAAGTAACTTATTAGTCGGCTTGGTAGCACAGTAAATTCTCCTCAAGAGATTTTAGTGGATGATATCTAAATTGCCAGGTTAAAGAGGTATCTTTGGTATGGACTTTAATGGTATCCTTAGACGGGTCACACCTAATGGAACAACACCATCTTTGAAGAAAGTATAGTCTTTTCTGCTGAGCGAAGTAGAGGTTCATTTCACACCTTCCCCTCACTGGGAGCTCACAAGGAGTAGATATGACATTCTACAGAGGAGTCTACAAAAGGTTTGTGGAAAGAGACATAATGGTCTGTCTCCAGCATGTGTCCCTTATTAAGTACTCTCTGTTTCCACTTTTGACCATATTGGGCAAATTAATTTCGTAGTTTCATAGTTGATAGAGTCGGAAGGGACCTGAGGAGATCATCTAGTCCGACCCCCTGCCATGGCAGGAAAGAGTACCGGGGGCAAACGACCCTGGCCAGATGTTCATCCAGCCTTTTTTTAAAGCCCCCCAGGGTAGGAGCCAGCATCACTTCTTTTGGAAGTTGGTTCCAGGTCCTAGTCACCCTGACAGTGAAATAGCGCCTCCTAATGTCTAGCCTGAAACTCCCCTCCGCTAGCTTGTTTAGTACTACTTCGTTTTCTGTAATATCTAGGCCCAGGTCACCTTCCACAAAGCTATATCCAGCTGGTGCAGTTGCCAAGGCAGGAAGAACAGATTGAAGAAGAGCATCAACTGATCCCTTCTTTAATTTCCTCATCCCGCTAAGATGAAGCTATGGTTCCACCTATATCTGCCTTGGATGACTAATTCAAGTTGTTGCAAGGTGTTATTAGAAAGTGCATGGCAGAAATATGGGTATATCCCTAGAGGAAGTTTAAAAGAAACGCACAGATTGTTGGACACTTTGAATGCTGTTTCTGAAGATGTAGTAAGCCTCCTCCTAAATGAGGGGTCTGTAAACCACCACAAGGGAGCCTGCACAAAGCATGTGGCATGTCCCTGTACCCATCCTAGATGCATTAAAAATAGCTGGCAGGAGGTGCCACCCCAATGCTAAATGATTTGATGTCCAACACTCGGGCTGCTGTTCAAGAGGTCAGAACATCGAGCATCTCTTAAGTTTGCACAGAAAGATTTGGACAAATTGGACTTAAACGGTTACAAGAAACAATCATTTTCTAGTACATTGTTTCCCAACCTTTTTCACCAATGACTCACATGGCTTCTCCTGCCCCACGGCATACCAACCAAATGTGGAGCCGGGGGAAGGGGGTGGGTCAGCGGCAAGTGGCCGAAAGTGGAATGTGGGGATGGGGGTGGGATGGTGCACAGCTGAACGCAGAGCGGCAGGGAGCGGGTGGTGCAGCACTTGAATCAGTGGCTAGAGCCACACTTGCTGGCTGGGGGCGTGGTGGGGGACATGGCTACCACCCAACATGCCATGGTCCACCTGGATATGCCTGATGGCACACTGGTTGGGAAGCGCTGGTCTATTATCAGATGAGAACAGCTAGCTGTCAGACCCTCCCCTCCAAATATGACAAAACTGGAGCAGATGTCTCGGGTTGTAAATTCCCTGAGAAGTAAGCTTCTGACAAAAGGATGAATGATTGCTCCTAATTCATTACAGACTGCACTTTATATGTCTCTTATTACGGTGGTTGCAGTGGCCTTGAAGGGACTGTTCTGGCTGCAGTCCTCTGGGTTCTTTTCTGAAATCTCCAGAGATGTCTAAGCAACAACTTAGGACACTTTATTTGAGGGTAGTCAACTTTTTTAGCAGAAAATGGAAGAGCCCTTCTCCCTTTGAAAACTTCAAGGGCATCTCTAAGCTCAGGGTTCCTCTGCTTCTTAACACCAAGAAGGAAATAATCATGCCAGCAGCCTGCCTTCACAGTACTTCTCTATCTAACTTTAATATCAACCACCTTGGAGGCAATGAAGATGGATCTCTCTGCATCACTCCAGCAGGCTTGATGCCAGCATTGAGCAGCTGAAAGAACATAACCACTTTGCTTATATTCACCTCCACTGACAACTGCCCATGGCTTTTTTTTTTTTTTTTTTGGATGGGAAAGCTTGCTCTAAGAATTGCCTCCAGCTAGAGGGTGTTTGAAAATAATAAGAGGGATCATATTCAAATCTGTCCCTATTCTTCCCCTGGAGCTCCATCTCATACGTTTTCAGAGTATCCTGCATAGAAGCAATTCAAGACAAGTAGTATACTTCTTTTTACAATTAGCAGCAGTGGAAGAAAAGGTGGCCTTGAAATTCCAGGGCTGAAATTGTTATGCGTGTTTCTTTTTCTAAAGAGAATGTTTTAGAAGCCTATCACGGACTTTTGGCATCTCGGCATCTTTACCTGCCTTGTCAGGTTCAAGATGGTGAGTGGCCTCAATAATTCCCTTGGACTTCAAGAATGGTTTATGGTTCTTGACCTGAGGTGCCTATTTCCATAGTGATCATCTAGCTCGCATGAAACCTTTTAGGTTTCTGGTAGAGTAATTCACTATCAGTGCAGGGTCCTGCTTCTTTGGTCTTTCTTGTAGTAATATACATGCTTAAGAGGCTTGGTAGCTCACCCTTAAGGAGAGACAAAGAATCCTTTCATATGTTCGTGACTGACTGATTAGAGGAAGATCCCTCTAACGAGTGACCAACTCAGTTACAATACTAGTAATTCTGAAGTTCTTTGCCTTGTTATGCTTCTGAGTCACCAGCCAAATATTTTGGGGGTGTAGAACACTGTAAGGCTACCGGTCTGTAAGGTGTTTTATTCATTGTCAGGTCAGTGGTTGTCTCTTATGGGGAGAAGACGTATTGTTTTATTTCAGTTTCTCCCTTCTAGTGTCTACTTTGTGTGTTTTGTGTATATACATGCATGTGTATGCACTATATGTTGTTACCTTCTCTCTTTTATCCAGTTGGGGTCCCCTTGTAAAGTACAGATTATTCAGTCACTTTTTGACAATATTTGTTTCCTACGTGATTCCTAGAAACAGTTCCCTGTTGCAGGAGTTTCTATACAATCCAAGTTACGTTTTCCTACTTGCCTTTGTTTTGTGGAATATACACAATTTCCAGAAGGCTTATGTGGGCTGCACAAAAGTGTTGCAACTGCTGTACCATTCAAGCCTAAATTTCAGTCATAACTCTTTTTATAAATACTCAATTGTTATGGGAGTTGTGCTCAACTTAGCTTGCCTAATTTTTTAATATGCAACTACTTATGCATTCTACTAATACAACCACAATAGCTAAGCATGCACACAAAACAGTTTACAGCACATTTTAGATAATGTGACTTAATTATTTGTTATCCACCAGCATGCCATATGTCATCCATATAGATACAGCATAGCGTTGATGTCCACTGGCCTATGTTCTCTCTGTGTGGCATCCAGCCAAATCTTTGGTGATGGACACCTCTACTTAGAAAATAGTGATTTTTAGGTTGCCTTCAGATGTGTGGCCTGTGGTCTCCTCAGAGTAGGATTTTTGCCTTCATATACGTGTCCTGAAGCCTAGAGTTATTTACCTGGCATGCAAAGCATTCACGTCTCTTTTGGCAGTCAGCAGTACAAGCACTGATCAACAACCTCACGG